GTAACAGGTTGGGCAAGGCTGGGAGCGCAAGGAATTGCAGTCCAGAGGGTCCAGGGTTGGGGAAGGCTACCCCTGTTTCTGAGGAGATTATTGATTCTCTCTAGGTCTACTTGGAACCTTCAAGCACCTTCACCTTCCATCTAATTAACTGTTTTGCACAGTTTCCATCTAACAACTGTTTTGTTACTTCCAAGTTTGTTTGTTAGTTTATTTATTTGTTAAACTTTTCTATTCTGTCCCCTACAGAACATCCGGGATGGTTCAAACTGGGACAGTTTGAATTCTATGCTTTAAAATTGTTTACTGAGGGGTTGTTCATGTGGCATTTGGCAGCTGTATCTGCAGGGGTAGGGAATGGAATGGAAATGAGAACCATTCCTCATCAAATTTAGGTCAAGTTTATATTCCCTAAGTTGTGAGCCAATTAAGGAAACCCTTCAATCTCCGAACATTTAATTCATGGTATGAACTAAATATTAGCTTATATATGTTTTCAGCTGTGCAAATATAAACTAGGCTTGGTAGGCAACAAGCATTATTTTTTAAGTCAACACTGGTCTATTCTCTTCATTTATTTTTGTATTTGGTAGTCTTTCTTTCCACCAGAAAATGGCTCTCAAGCCACATGCCTACATTTTGCATGACCATGATCACACCAAGCCTGGTCTCCTTTTGCTCATGGTGTGTGCGCTTCCTGTCAGCAGTGGCAGGGAAGTTGCAGCTACTTAAGCAGGTGTCATCTGTGCCCTGGGAACTCTGGGTGGCCGTCAGAGGTCATAATATCCTAGAAATATAGAATAATAGAATATTGGAGCTGGAAGGGGCCAGAGGGCCATTGGGTCCAAGCCTCTGCTTGGTGCAGGACTCCTAGTTAAGTTGTTCCTCTCCAATGGCTGTCCAGTTGCTTCCTGAAGATTTCTCATGTGGGAGAGTCCACAACCTCCCTACATCATTGGTTCCATTTTCATACGGCTCTAACAGTCAGATTTTTTTTCTTGTTATGTGGCCAGAACCTGGGTTCCTGTAACTGGAGCCCTTTATTCTTTGTCCTACACTCTGAGATGAACGAGAAGAGATCCTGTCCTTCCTCTTTGCGACAGCCTTTCAAGTACCTGTAGAGTGCTATCATATCTCCCTGCAAGTCTTCTCGTGGCTAATTATGTTCTGGCAATTGCTTCCTCTTCTGTTCCAAATGGATTAACAGCTTCACCTGGTGCCTTCTGCTGTGCCCAGGTGACTGTCAGGACCACTCCCCCCACCCCACCAGCTCAGGAGGAAAGTGAGGGCAACCAATGCAATGTGGTTTTCCTGCCTTCCAGCCAGTGGAGGAAACAGAAATGGCTTTGCCATCTTGCTGGCTGGGTAGTCTGCCAAACCTGAAGTTACAGTCACCACTGTCAGCTATATTTCTGACTCCCATGGAGATTATAGAGAGAGTTGATGATGATTTTGTGGTTCCATATTCATCCCCCATTTTCTAGGATGCAGTTTTTACAAAGTGACTTGTAGCACTAGGTGTCTGCACTATGTTTAGAGAGAGAGAAAGAGAGGTGCGAAGTGGCAAACAGCAGAGCAGATTGGTAGCTCTGGATGTAGTCAGTAGTAAGTTAATATTTTATTTATGTATTTGTTTAAACAACTTATATGCCGACCCGTCGCATGAGCCTCGGGGAGGCTTACAATCATTAAAATTGCATATAAAATACAAAAACATTCATACATAAATACAAAAGATAAAATAAAATAGAATAGTGGATCCAGCCTGGTCAAATAAACCATTAACAATTAAAATAGCATTTCAATAAAAAGGTCTTGGCCTGGCGCTGAAAAACAAATAAGGACAGTGCCAGGCGGACCTCTCTGGGGAGCGCATTCCATAGGTATAAATAAGAAACATATGCACATGTATTATTAAAAAGGTGGATCTAATTGTGTAAATGAAAAATTAGAAGCAGTATAAAATCCAGCATAAAAATTGAAGCAATCACATATAAATAGCTGTCTGATTTTTTTTAAAGTATTCAAAGCTCAGGTGAAGAGAAGGAGAAAGTAGACTTTCCTTCTGGCTAACAGTGTAGCAGTTGGGAGAAGTGTGTCTGAAAGTCAGCATTGCCCTTCCTATGAAGGACTCAGGATGGTATCCCTGTTGCCCTTAGCCTGAGCCACATGGCTTAAAAGTAAATTGAGCTTGGTGATCACAATTACCTGAGAACTGCTTAGAGATGTTAATATACTAAGTAGTATATAAGTATTAGATTTTTAGCAATACTTCATAATATGAAACATGGAATATAAGAGCACAATTGAGATGTTTAAACAAGAGGTTTAGGCAGAGAAAAATCATACAGCTCCCAGCATTCCCCAGCCAGCCTTGTAGGACTATCTTTTAAAAATATTTATTTATTTGGATCTAAACCTACATGAGTCAAAGACAACACTTGGACCTCAGAAAGAGGAGTTGAGGATCCAGTTTGCCTCTCTATCCACTGTAGCTTGGCACAGAGAGAGAGAGAGAGAGTGCTGTTCTAGTGGTCTCTTCAGGGATGGAAGATCAACATGGAAAGCTGGGGAAAGGATCATCATGGGACATGGGGACGAGAGGAGACAGAAGAGGTCAAGATACAGTTTATCCTGAGTCTGGGGATATACAAACTTAATTAAATTTGTTTCATCTGCATTTTGTGTTTTTACAGGTGCCTTTGATTTCATTGTCCACTCATTGATGAAAGTAAACTTTGTACAAATTAGCATTTTGAAAATATGTTCATGCTTTACTGTTTTTGGGGGGACTGTTCCATTTTACAACAAGTTAAAAAAAATCAGCTCATGCTACATGGGAAAAGATGGTCTAGTATGGGACATAGAAATCTGAGCTCATTTAAATCTGTTGTAGATTTCTCTGACCTCCCCACCACCTCTTCCAGCATCTTTCCTGGGTACCTATGAGTCCAGGGGCTTCTGATAGTGTCCACCAATGACACATATTTAATAAAGAAACAAGGAATCTCAGTCTTTGCTTGTCTACATCTGATACTCTAGCCACCTTGTTGCAAATATAAGCAATGGAACTCTCATTAGAGGGACACACCCTTGCAGTCCAGCAATTTTTGGACAGTTTTTTAGTGTCTGAGCTTCATCTTCCATGTGTGTGACATCAGATTCTCCATCTGAATACACAGGTGGGGAATATGGTGCATTTATGACTTCAGCTCCGCTGGAAATGCCCACAGCATTTGGTATTATGGTGGGCTTTAGGTTTTCCTGACTTATCATATGCAACTCATCATTTTGCTGTTCGTCATGGTCACTGTGTGCTTAGATGTGATAAAGGGATAGGAGCTTGTTGGAAGATGACTTAGGGATCTAATCTGATATTCACCACAATTTAATCAATTACAAATATGAGTCAATGGAGCCTGATGCTGGTAGCATGTCATGTTTTGTTAAAATAACTTTAAAAGGGCTCAGTGACTTAGAAGTTAAAGCAAAGTATTGGGTGAAACAGTCTGGGATTTTGGCTTGAAGCCAGCATGATGTCCCGAACAGATGCATCACAAAACCTCTGCAGATCAACCCAGATTTATATGAGTAACTTATAAGAGCCCCTGAGCTAAGCCAACATGGTGATTGAATTAACTCCTGCATTTACAAAGCCTTCAGGCTTCTTGGCTCTCATAGGCTTGTGCAGGAACGTTCACTTTATTCTTGTTTTAAATGTGTGTACTCTCTTTCGAAAAAGAGCGTTCCAGTAGATTGAGAACACATCAGTTTTTGAACAGCACAAATAACTTTTAAAAGCTAAAAACATATAAACACTAAAAATTGGAAAAGGCACAATCAGCACTTAAACGGTAGCCAAGGGCATTGTCAGTCCCAGTGTCAGTAATTGTTTTCACTCGTGGTAGCCACTGGGTTGAAACATGCCCTGCACATTCTCATCCTGAGTACAGGATAGTAATTTACTGCATAATCCTATGCATGCTTACACAAAAGAAAGTCTCCTTGAGTTTGTTTGTTTATTATAATTTCCATAGCACTATATCAACTAAATAAAAATAAACAGTCAAGGCAGTGTAAAACACTCTTGTTTTTCTTCCATAAGCAATAAAGAGGAAAACAATACAGATGGACTTTTCCTTCTCACAGTGGGGGATTTTCAAAAATTAAAATTTAAGCTGTAACCCACACTTGCAAAGAGGCACTTCTATGGGTTTAAATGCAAAGTGATTTGAAATTAATAATTACAGGAATTAATTGCTTCAATTAATAGATGTGTGAAGTAGTAATTCAGTACTTGCACACACTGCAACATGCAGAACTGAGTGTACAAGATCCCTTTAAGGAAGCTGGATCTGCACCAACTGGTGGTCTGAATCCAGTTCTCCATTCCTTTTTCCAAAACCTCTTGCCCTAGCTGCTGATTCAAACTAGGAATAATTTGTTCAGCATCCGTTCATGCATGTGATTCTCTGCCCAGCTACTTCAGCACGCACTTGACTGTTAGCTGGATTGGGATTCAGACTATTATTTATTCACAACCTTTGTGATAAATATTAAATATTTGTTTTAAGGAGGATAATTTTGACACAATGACATAATTGCAGGGAACATGCATAAACAATCATTCCATGCCCCCTCCCCATTTCCCTTTTCAGAGAGAAGTGTATAAAATAGACCTGTGCTTGCCCAGTAATGAGTTTCTGTTTTGAGAGGGAACTTAATAGGCTGTCTGTCATGTATATGGCGCTTATCCGGCATTCTTGCAAGCTGGGGGAAAAAGGGACAGCTTGAAAATAAATTCAAGTGAGCTATGCTAGCTCTGCAGTGAAAATGGTGGCAGTACATCAGATGTTCCTCTCTTGGGCTCTTACTATTATACCAGCAAATGTTTTTGTTGAACTTGCCATTCTCTGGAACTCTCATTTCTGTGTAGCTTCTGAAATCTAATATTACTCAGTGGTTGGATTTTGCTTTCTCTCCCCCTCACCCCCAACCTACAGCATGATGTATCTCAAACTCTGCTCAAAGCAACCTTGGACAGCGTGGTGGAGGAGTGCGTCAGCTTTGTAGGAGTTGATATTAACATCTGCTCGGAAATATTATTGAGGTGAGCTTTTGAGACTTCCTGTTTCAGGAGCGACATACATAGACCTGATCATGGGGATTCATCTGTTCAAATATGTTATGGCTCCCAAACATGTCTTGTGACCATCAGCTAGGTTCCTAACTTTCCACTTTGTTCATTGTTGCACTTATGGAAGTGATCTATAAATGAGTGCTTAAAGAAAAGGTCCAAGTTAGTGTATTTTAACTTCAGCTAGGCAAGGCTTCATCACATTAGTCAGGAAGTAGCAGGAAAGAATGTTCTGGTTCTTTCTCCTACGTTTCTTGTTCCACATGCTACAATGGGGCTGAACTGGTCCGTTGTCCTTAGCAAGCATGCAGAGCCGGAAACGTGGGAGCCAAATCCACTCTTCCAGGGTTTCCAGTCTGTCAAATCCGTGAAGTTGCTTAGAAGTCCACACCTTTTTCCTCCTACCATGGATCATTTGGTTTCCAAGTTTTTGTGTAGTTTTTCCCCATTCTATAGGCTGTCAGTGCTTGGTAACTAAGCTTCAGTTACCAGCAGTATCGGTTTAAGCTAAAATATGTGACTATTTTGATTCTGCCCATTTTGTCTTGGTCCCCACCAGTGGAATGGAGCCCAAAAGCTTCCCCAGAATGGAATTAGGTCCTCATACTGAAATGGTTTCCGCACCCCAGTTCTACATTGATTACACTGTTGGTAGAGAGAAGCAGATTTTGCATGCATGTATGCACATATGTATGTACATATGCATGCGTGCACACACACACACACACACACACACACACAGGGCTGTACCCAGTTTGTAGCCCTTTTTCTTTGCAACACATTATAATCAGCTTATTTTTTTTATATATATAAAAAAGCTTGCTTAAACTGGTCATAAAACTTGGCAGAGAAAGTAGGTATGGGACCACAATACAGAAAAAGTCAGATAAAGATGGGATATAAATGTTTTAAATGAATGAATGAATAAAATTCACTCAGTCTGTATTGGTGCAAATTCCTGGGCCCAGGAATTTCCAATCTGGCTGATGCAGGCCCACCCCTAAGTAGGTGAGGTGAGACTAACCCAAAAGGACTTGTTTACTTCAAACCACATGTTTGCCAGCAAATATCAGCCATGCAATGAAGAATTTTCAACTGAATATGCATGTGGGGCTCCAGTCTGGAACAGGTACATATTCTAGTTTAGAGCCCCACAGGTGTGTTTTCTTCAAAATACAGCATCCCTTTAAGCACTCTAAAATGTGTTTATCATAACATGTATGTAGTTTGACCCATAGAACTCACTTGGGAGCCAATGGGAATAAACCCATTCCTGGTGGTTCAGCACTTGGAGGAAACCACATAGCCATTGGAAATCCTGGTAGGTTGGAATTGTCACCCATCCAAAACTTCCCAAGTCCACAATCTGAACCCCAGATTCTTCCTGAATTTGCTTTTACTTTAGAGCTTTGATTCTTGGGTGATATAAAAGTGAGATTAAAAAAATAAAAGCAGGGTTTGGTGTACCCTCCTTTCAGTTGCAACGTGTGATTTCATACTTATTTTACAACTTTCAGAGAGCTATTTGAATTTGTATAGAGCTTTGTGCATTCAGGGCTTTCTGCATTCAGTGTTCATGAATATAGATAATTCCCTGCTAATCAAGTGAATGGAGTAGTCATGAGGGGCCTCACCTGTGTAGTGGAGCAGTTTAACACTACATTTTGGGGTCATTGGGTTCCCCTTATCCTTTAGAGCAGGAACAGAAAACTTGGGTCCCTCTAGATGTTTTGGTCTGCAGCTCTCAAGATCCTTCACCATTGACTGTGCCTGTTAGGGGTAATAGGAGATGTAGGCCAAAGCATCTGGGAAGCCAGAAGTTGCCTACCTTAAATTTAGAAAGTGCTAACCAGCTTGGGACCAGGATACCTGAAGAAACGTCTCCTTCCTTATGTGCCCTTAAGATCTATGGGAGAAGCCCTACTCTGGGAACCCTCTCTAAGAGAGGTAAAAAGGTCATCAATTTGGAGTAGGGCCTTCTCTGCTGTGGCACCCAGACTCTGGAATGTTCTCCCCGGAGAGGTACGCCTGGCGCCAAGTTTATACTTTTTTCGGTGCCAGGCCAAAACCTTTTTATTTAAACAGTATTTTAAACTCTAATAGTTTTTAAGTTTAGTCGCTCTGTTTGGTTTATTGTTTTGAAAATGTTGTTTTAATTGTCCTTTTAAATATTGTAAGCCATCCTGAGATCTTGTATAATAGAACGGCATACAAAAGCTTTTAATAAATAAATAAATAAATAAATAAATAAATACCATATAAAGTAATTTAATTAATTATTGCTTAATTTTATCAGATGCAATTCATTGGCTTTATTTGATATGGAGACATCTCTCTATGGTTTTAGACACATTGCAGGACTGAATGCCAACAGGGCGAAAAATATAATTGAATGGCGAGAGAAGAATGGTCCATTTATCAATCGGGAGCAGCTTAAGGAAGTCAAAGGACTGGGCCCCAAATCCTTTCAACAATGCGCTGGTTTTATCAGGATTAACCAGGAATACATCCGAACATTTTGCAGGTAACATATAAAAGTGTGCTGTGGACAAAAGTGTTATAAGATTATTTCTTCCCCACCTTCCTCTTTAAGTAGCAGAAGTGGAAAATTGTTCCTCTTCCAACTTAAGAGAGCAGTTTAAGAAATAGCTCCACGTAGGCAACAGCTTAGAACATCCTTCTTCAACTTGATACCCTTTGGGTGGGTTGGACATGAACTAACCAATATTGGCCATGCTGCCTGGGACTGCAGTCCAATATTTCTGGAGGACAAGAAGTTAAGGAAGTCTGACTTATCTAAGGCTTTGCCTGTATAGGGCGATATGCTTTGAATATGGGTTGCAAAAATGTTAGGCTCTTGTCTAGACTTGGAGACACCCTGATCAAAATCCAAGCTCTACCATGAAGGTTTTCGACTGAACTTCAGTCTTAGTCTACTCTAATTTAAGTGATGAGTGCAGACAGAAGCAGGCAAATACCACCTTTGCACCTGCTGGACTGCACCCTGTGACAAGTCACAACAACTTGTTGTATGTTGAAGGAGAAGGGCCGGGCTGAGTTCTTGCTTACTTGTTTAAATGCATCTTGATGTTTCCTCCAAGTCAGCTTAGAAGCATGTTTGTCATGAAAGGCAAGGCTCTAAGACAATCAATCAGTCAATCAACCAATCAATATCACCCATTGCTTCTTAGAAGAAAGGTGATGCAGAAGTAAAAATTAATTCAACTGTGCATTGAAGGTATAAAGAATGTGGAACACCTTGCAGAAGGACCCACCAGGGACGACGGAGAGTCTTTTTCTCCCTCCTCTGCATCATCCTGTCTGTACACAGTGAGCTGTTGTAGCCCCATGCCTTAGCAGTGACTAAAGCTGAGTTCTTTAGTATGTTGCTATGTCCTTACGATGCTATTTTGACCTTGGCAGCTGCACATACTCTCTGGCCATTTGGGAAAATGTGTCATAATAAACTTTCTCATCACATCCAAAGGAAGAAATCCCGAATGGCAGTTCAGTTAATTTTTAAGTAGAGCAGTAATGTAATATCAACTTAAATAAATTCAGTCTGGAGCTGAGCACAGGGTTCCCTCCAGAGGCTGACCCAACCTTGGATATTATAAAGATACTTCGAAGGCGAACCCCAAAGCACACATAATAGACATTAATACCTACAAGTTTGCTCCACCAGCCAGCCTTGGTTGGCACCGTCTCTGTTGTGAGAACTTATCTATGTATGCAGAGTGACTCTGCAGGAAAAAAGAGCACATTGCAAGATCAGTGGTGTGAACTCTGGCCCTTGTGCTGCTGCATATGTTTTTAATATATACGATTGCATCTGTCAGTCCAAGGCCAGGTTTGTATCTTATGTCTGAAGCAGTAAAATTAAGTAAGGATATGAGGTGACACCCATTTGTTGAGGCAAAGTTTCAGTCAGTTAGCCAGTGAAATGTTTTCTGTGCTGCTTTTGTCTAAAAGCCCCCAGTCCAGAGCTGTGCACAATAAAATAACAATTCGAGCTCCGCAGTCAGTAGGATCATTCAGCACATAAGGGAAGAGACCAAATGCCACTACCCTTGTCCCTGTTAGAGCCTTGAGGACTGCACCAGGGTGAGGGAGTAGAGCATGGAAGGGATCGGCTGCAGTGGCCTGTAAGCAATCCGGTTGCTATTTTCTGCATTTTGTACCCTTGGGTAGTCATTTGCCGTTTTCATTGCTCATTCATGTCACCATGCATAGGAAAGGTCTATTTGTTGTACTTGGCTACCGCATTACCAATAAGTGATAATTGATATTATGTTGTACGTACTGATTTTTGCCTTTTATGGAACTGCCTTTAAAGGTTATAATGTAAGCCTTAGTGAAATGAACCATTGGGGCAGTTTATTATTGTAAAGATGTATTCATTGCAATTTTTGCTTTCAGTTAGTGTTATGAAACTCCCAGGGAGGAGGATAGAAGTGTAATCAATGGTAAGAAATAAATTTATAATAAAAGGCAATTGTGCAACGATGGAAAAACATGCTCCCATGCATAAATCAGGAGGCAAGACTAAGCATTTTCAGTTTTCACAAAACGGAATGGAAAAGGTTTGGCTTTTAAGGGCAGCTGGAAAGAAGCAATGAGTGGATCACAACTACAGCCATCATAAGAAAGCACTGCCACCAAAGGCCACTTAGATGGGAAGTGGTGCTGGCTGAAGAAGTACAAGAACTAGGGCTTTGCTGAAATGACTTCTCGAAATTATCCCTCCTCGTTGTGTACAGAGAAATTGGGAAAAACAATTTTTCCACGGCAAGTAGAAGTTCTTCCACTGTTTCACACATGTAGGACTCACCATCTGTTGGGGCCGTAGCACAGCCTGTTTCATTCTTTTTTCATTCCTGAGTGGGGATTTGGGGGGGAGTGGGGGGGCTGTACTGCCATGTCAAGTATCCCTTAGATAGCATCAGCTCAGCCTTATTTTGCATCCTCCACAGTGCGGGTTGCATCCAACAGGAAAGGTCACTGTATAATGAAAAACATGACACATGGAGACCCACTTTGACTTCCTCATAGGCACAAGAAATGCAAACCCAACTCATGAGACGTTCTCCAGGATTTCCTTCACTAAGGAATTTATTTTCCCAAGTAATTTCTTTTCTGTAAAACTGAATAAGAACAGTTGCGGTGAATGTGGGAGAAAAAAAATGGCACAGCACTAGCAGGAACGCATATGAAGCTGGTATATATGAAGCTTTGCCCCTCTCTGGACAGGGACAGCCTGGTTTCAGTAATCTACACCCTGGGAATCTGCTTTAGATGACTGCAATGCATGCTGTGTGGAGCTGCTCTTGAATACAGTTCAGAAGCTGCAGTTTGCAGAATGCCACAGCCAGATTAATTCAGTCCCATTGGTCTGAACATTCAAGAGCAGTTCTGGCCCACTTGCATTGGCAGCCTTTATGCTTCCAAGTCCAACTCCATGTTTTGACCTATGAAGCCTTACACAGTATAAAACCATAATACATGATGGTCCACCTCTCCCAACCACAATCTGCCTGAATACTGCTTTCAACAACAAGGACCTTCCTCCAGGGAGGAACTTCAAGGGAAGCTCAGATGGAAGCAACAAGAGAGGGCTGTCTCTGTTGTGGTCCCTCCATCTGTGCAATGACCTCCCCACTGAGGCCAACCTGAATCCAATCTTGTCAGTCTTTTCAGCACCAGATTTTGATGGCCTTTTATACTGAGGATTTCAAAAATATACTGAGATATCCAAAACCTTCAAGAGATGGCCCATGCCTGAAGTTTTTTTGCACAGCTATTCTTGGTTGCACATTTTTCAACTGTTCCTAATTGTTTTGTTTAAAATGTTTGTCTTTTTGATAAGAGTTTATGGCATTTTATCCTATTTTCTTATACTGTATTTATGAACCATGTGGTTTCACTGAGCTCCAGGTGATATTGAAATGAAATTAATGTTAACACTAATGCTATATACTCTCAGGGACCCTTTGCATAGCCACTCTGACTAGGAATGGGTCTTTAGGAGCCCAGCAAAGGACCTCCCAGTCTGCAATCTGAATTCTTTTTATGTAGCACTGGCCCATCGAGATCGGGATAGTCTATAAGAGACCAGCAGTGGCTTTGCACACTTCCCAGTAAGGGGTTTTCTCAGCTGTACCTGGAGGTGCTGGGAACCGAAAAGGACCTTCTATATGCAAAGTGTGTGCTCTGCTACTCAGCTGTGGTCCTACCCTGCCAACACAGAAAGCTGCCTCAGACCAAGTCAGGTCATTCGCCCATCCAACTCAGTAGTGTTTCAGGCAAGATTTTTCCTAGCTCTGCCTGCATTGAGCCTGAGACCTTCTGCATTCAACACGTGCTGCAACATTAAGTTGTGGTCCTGACCTGAAGATGTTTTGGATGTGAGCAAAACCTGTGGCCACATCAGGGCAGCCTTTTAGGAAAGCCCTGAAAACCTTCTTCTTTACTCTGGCCTTCCCCTAATTATGTTTTATTGGACTGGGTTGTACTTACAGTTATGTGTTGCAGGTTTTGTTTCATGCTTTGCTATTCTTTACAATATTTGCTGTTTTTCACTTCTTTTATAACCACATTCATTTTATTATGTTGAGTTTTAGCTCTCCCTTGAGGAAACTCCTGCTCTGAAAGGTTGCCCACAAATATTTTACATAAAAATAAATGAAATAAATAACATGTTCTGTCACTGGGCTATCCTTAAAAGGATGTCTGTGCATAATTTTATCCTGCAATCTTTCAAGTGAAGCAACCCCAGTAGAAGTTATGGACATAACATAATTTGTAGGTTCATTTGTGGGTCCATTGCAGAGAGCATTTTGAAAGGTTTGTCCATTCTAGAATTCACTTTCATTCATAAGTTTATACTAGCAACAACTACAAAAGTTGTAATGTGTGGGGAACATGTCTTAGCTGCATCCCGTGTGAAAAGAAGGGAGATGTTCATTTCAGAAACAATCTTTTTGACTAGAGCGCGCGCTCGCGCGCGCGCGCGCGCGCGCGCGCTCTCTCTCTCTCTCTCTCTCTCTCTCTCTCTCTCTCTCTCTCTCTCTCTCTCTCTCATGATTCTGGACATCAGTCAACAGGGCGAGCTTGCAGCTGGGGACCATAAATCAGCCTCAACTGAGAAACAGGGTAAAAAGAGGACGAAAGCAGCAGCAAGTGTTCGGCATCCAAATCCTTTGGATCAAACCTGCATCCACCCAGAATCATACAATATTGCAATGACGTAAGTAGTAAGTCAGTGGTTATAACTAATAGTTTATCACTTGAGAAGCCATTGTTTTTCATGGATAATGGACAAAAAATTAGGTTGAATCCTTTCGTTGTGCTGTGGAGGGCTGGGAAACCTTCCAGAGCAGATTTTCAGAGCTGCTGGAGATGGAGACAGTTGCATTGTGGTAGCAGTTTTCCACTAGCATAACAATGAATTAAACCCTGTATATTTAATGAAGCTTGTGGTGCAATGGTGCTGAAGTTAGGAGGCTGGAGGGAGGGAGGTGGATTTTATTTTGTGTGATGATGACCTAGTCACTTTCTAGAAGTCATGTCCCACCAAATGCAACTCTTGTCAGCTCTTGCCAGTGTAGCAAATGGTTGGAGATGCTAGCAATGGTAGTACAGCAATACCTGGAAGACCAGTTTCCTCATCCATCATGGAAGTCATGGTTATGCAGTAGTTTGTTGTGTATAATAATGGATTGTCATAGTTATGGGTTTACTTGGCAGGTTTCAACACACATGGATGGGTGGTTTGCCATCAGGTCTTTCCCTCTCCACACAAATAGGGCATGCTAAGAATCCAAAGTGGCTACCCAATTGTCATAAACATCTTCACATAATTTTGCCAGTAAAATCTTTCTTGGAACATAGCTGGCTGGAAGACCTGCCTTCATGGTATTGACTGAGTTCCTGTCCGACTTTGTTCTGATTGCCATTCAAGAGACCTGGCTTCCATCTGTGGACGAAAGAGTGCTGGTAGGGTGAAAAACCTGGTTTCCTCTAGCCAGGAACATGAAAGATAAGGAAATCAGTGCCCTAGTCAACACCCCCCCCCCCCAATTATATAGTAATCAAGCTAATCTCATTGTTAGACTAAACTAGACTAGACTAGTCAGGTTCACATCTCACTCATGCTTACTTGATGACCTCCAGTGTGAGAGCCAGTATGGTGTAGTGGTTAAGAATGTGGTACTGAGACTCAGGAGATCTGTATTCTAGTCCCCATTCATCCATAGAGCTCTGGGTCCATCACAGACTTTCAGCCCAATCTACCTCACAGGGTTATTGTTGATTGAGAGGAGGAAAATCATGTGAGCCGCCCTGAGATCCTTGAAAAGAAAAAAGTGGAATATAAATAAATGTGGAATAAATAAGGCACAAAGGTTTACAAATGCCTAATATTCTTGCAGTTCTACATTAATTTCCCCTCTATCTTTCCTTAATATGTATACATTTCCTTTGCAATTTATGCTTTCAGGATGCTGGCAGTAGGTGCAGAATTCTTTATAACCAATTATGGGGAAATAAAATGGGGTGTTAATGCAGCAGGATATTGCTGAAGCAAATACGTAACCCTACAAGTTGCATCTAGGAAGTCCTCCTGATAATTCAGTTGCTTTCATCAGCAGCTAGACCAGACTTGTCAAGTGCCCAGCATGCCTAAGCAGGGTACAACTTAATTTCTTCATAAAATGGGTAAGCTTAGAATGGTACTAAGCAAAATCACACAACTGTTTGTGGAGCTGTATTTTGGCCTTTGTCAGTCATTCATTCTGAAAGTGAACTCTAGAGGTTAAAAGCCAATGAGTTTGCAGGCAAACTCACAAATAAATCACAAATACAGTAGCTTTCACATGCTTGGAGGGCTCCCTAGGTACTCGGAATTACATACATTTCTGTATTACGTTAAATGGCTGAGAAGTGCCCATGAGCTTACAGAATGTGGACAGCAGCTGAAGAAGGATCTCAAAGGGGGGCAAAATAAAAGGGAGGCATGCTGTGCTATCCTGAGTTTGTTTACTTAGAAGTAGGGTGTTTGTTCAACACCATTGGGAGATTCCCTCCTTAATTCTCCCCATGCAAATACTGGCTTCAGAAGCAGGATTTTTCTCATAGTTGCAGCAGAAGTGGCTGAATTCCTTCTCCATGTTGGTTCCCACCTGTTAATCATCCTCTTCCTCCCTCATGCGATCTGCTTTTTACAAAAAAGTGGCGTGTAAGATGCAAAAACACGCTGAAGGTCAGGTGTTGTTTGGTCTCCACTCCTGGGCAAACATCCTTCAGAGTGCACAGCATATATCCTTAAGGGACCAGTTATTTCACCTTCCTCCTATCACAGACATGGCATTTGAACCGCATCCAGAAAGGGCAGGGGAAGACTTTGCCGTTTTAACGTATGTACCATAATCCTAAGAATATCTCGTTGCCATCACCCTCTGAATTTCTGAAACACCCTATGTACCTAGGAGCCTGAGAAACAGCCAGCCAAGAATTTTATGGCTTCTGGCAAGCCGCCTATGCCTGCTTACTAGATTACACCCGAAGCTTTCCAGCTGACTGGGATTCAGAGCCACATAAATAGTGAAGGCACCAAGCTTAAGAGAAGACTGGGAAATCCATCTCTTGCTAGATATTAGCCCTGCTTTTATGTGATGAAGTAGTTATCTGGTATTAGCAAAAGCATCCTTTAAACATTCTCTTGATTATTACTAAATTTGATGCTTAGGCATTCACCCACACACACCATCAGAACTGCATGGACAAAGCAGGATTGTGCTCACTGGCCTTGACCTTTCCACCATGTCCCAGTCACCTAGCTTTGTCATCTTTCACACTCCATAGACAGAATGTCTTGAGCAGAGAAACTAATCTGCTTGTACCAACTTCCTGTTCACTGTAGAACCTTGATTCCACAATTGCACAAGTTCTACATGAAGTTTCCCAGTGCAGAAATTTGTCCTCCACGGTACAAAGGACAGCAGAGCCCAATGATGAGAAAGCAATGGAAGAGCAGAGGCCATGGAGCATGGTCCCATAATCCTCCTCCAGAATTCTAATTGCATGGGCATTCAGGGTCATACAATGGACTCCGTAGTGCATCATTTCAAATGGTTATGTTTTAATTATTTTATGGGCTTGTGATATTTTATTGGGCATTTTTAAGCTGTTTTAAATGTTTATACATTTTCATTTTGGTGTAAGTTGCCTTGAGTATTTGTTTTGAGAAAGTCATTACAGTAGCTTTATTATTCGTCATCATCTTCATCCAGATGCAGGAAAGAAAACCAGCAGAATCTGCCTTGAGGTTTGCAGAACCTTGACTAAGGGCACCCCTCCCCCACAGAGCCAAAACCACATACTCAGAGAAGATGCTAATTGAATGCACTTGAAAGACAGCTCAGTGGTTTGGGAACCACTTTTAAAATCTAAAAACTATCTGGTAACCTGAGAACCCTGACCTCATAATCATATTGATTTATAGCTAATGCCAGTGTTTTCCTGCTGTATCAAAGACCCAATTAAAACGGGCAGGTTTGCTTGCAGATAATCTGAGCATGTTTCCTGTCTGGAACAAACAAGAGGTAAATTCTTTTAAGAGGAATTCTGAAAAGCAAAGAATGCACATTCATCTTCTGGCCCATCTGAGCAACTCTGTCCATCAGTATGATAGTCCTCATAGTGCCAAGCTAAATGTGATGGATCTGGGTGAGGCCGCTACTGAATCTTGGCAAAGCAGTTTGAGACAGCAGAACCTTCTGCTGGTAGGTCCACCCTCAACTCAGGCCCAGCTGCCTTTCATTGAGTTTGGTTTTGCCTGGGTGAGAGGCTTTGCTATAAGCAACACTGCCAGGAAAAGAAGGGGGGGCGGGTGAATTGCATCAGTCTTGCTCAGTCCAGAAAGACAGGGCGAAGCAAGCTCCCAAAACCTGTCAATTTGTTTAGTTCAAATAGTGATTCATAGTGTCTGATTCATCCTTACATATGCTTGGGGAAGAGTCACGGTCTGTGACATCCCGCAGAATTTCAAAGGAAACTTTTATTGTTGCTAGTTACGAAGTCATGTCCAATCCATCGCGACCCCATGGACAACATTCCTCCAGGCCTTCTGGTCTCCACCATCCCCCGGAGTCCACCTAAGCTCACGCAGACTGCTTCAGTGACTCCATCTAGCCACCTCATTCTCTGTCGTCCCCTTCTTCTTTTGCTTTCAACTGTTCCCAGCATTAGGCTCTTCTCCAGTGAGTCCTTCCTTCTCATTGGGTGGCCAAAATGTTTGAGTTTCATCTTCAGTATCTGGCCTTCTAAAGAGCATCAGGGTTGATCTTGCTAGGACTGACTGGTTTGATCGCCTTGTGGTCCAAGGGACTTGCAGGAGACTTCTCCAGCACCACAATTCAAAGGCCTCAATTCTTTGGCGCTCAGCCTTCAACTTTCACAGCCATAAATTGCAACTGGGAAAACCATAACCTTGACTGTATGCACTTTTGTTGGCAGGGTGATGTCTCTGCTTTTTAGTATGCTATCTAGATTTGCCATAGCTTTCCTCCCCAGGAGCAAGCATCTTTTAATTTCTTGGCTGCAGTCCCTGTCTGCAGTGATCTTGGAGCCTGCATGGCATAGCTCATAGCTTCATTGAGCTACACAAGCCCCTTCACTACGACAAGGCAGTGATCCATGAAGGAGATTAGAGTCATATAAAAATTACCTGTTCCATAATGTATTTTGAAGTTAGGAATGTAATCATCAATATGTAAACTCAGTTTAATTCCAAGCAAGTGACATGGCAGTGTTCCTCAAATTCAGTAGATAACATGTGACACAGTTAGATTTAGCAACGTGTTGATGCCATGGAAAGCAATGGAGAATAAGGGCAAAAGTGCAGTGCAAGTAAACAAGCAAGTACATATATCTTTTTACAAAGAAGCTGAAAGTGTTAAAAGGGGAACTGTTGAAAGTGCTCCTAAGGATTGCTGAATTGTTTCAGTTTAGGTAGGCTTGAGTTAATTTTGTTTTGGTTGTTTAATGGAGAGATTAATTTTGCTGGTGTCCTAATGCTCATTCATGAGCCAATAATGACTCACATGGAGTAAATGCATGTGGGCCTCCATGCTACTCACTGGTGTTAAGGAAGGAGGGTGGAAAGGTGTTTTATGCTCCCAGATCATTGGTCTGTCCAGCACAGTGTTATCTGGGTCGCCCTTCCCCAACCTGGTAGCCTTCAGGAGT